GAGAGAGAGAGAGAGAGAGAGAGAGAGAGAGAGAGAGAGAGAGAGAGAGAGAGAGAGAGAGAGAAGGCATCACTCTCTGTCTGCTATTCTCTGAGGATTTCCCTGTTTGATCTATCTCAGCAAGGTCAAGGTGTGTCGTCATCTTTAAACTCTGTGTGTGTGTGTGTGTGTGTGTGTGTGGGGTAATGGCTATACCCCCTTAACGGGAACAAGAAGTTAAAAAGAAGGAGAAATTCCAAGAAGGAGAACTATACCCCCTTAACGGAAACAACAAGAAGTCGATAAAAAGGAGAAATCCGAGAAAGAGAACAATACTCATCTCTCACCCCACTTGCTCTCGTGACCGCTGCCTGGTCTTTTCTATGTTTTTTCCCTTGAAAACGAACTCCTTTTTTTTCGCCGAAATCGGGTCGAGCGTCCGTACAAGTTCACCCACTCTACGCTTCCCTCCATTATGGTGGAGAGACCCTGCGATAGCGGCACTGATTACCTCACAGCGGTGAAGGAGTTCCCTCTGGTCTATTGCTGTCGAACTACCGTCTTCCCCCGGAATATAACGTGTGTCGTATGTATCTAGACTGGAAGTTGCCTTAAAGAGGAGCCATAATGACCGTATGACAACATGATGTAGTCGGGGAAAGACTGTACTGAATCTGTGAACCTGCCTTGTCGGACTCCGCCGGCAGCTCCTCTCAGTCCTGTTGAAATGCCAGGAGTCCTTCCACCAGGGCTGGGTCATGTCTAGCCCTGGTGCCTGTCACTACTGTTCAGTCCAAGTTCCCCTCGATACCAAGTAGGGGTAATGGTCCTGAGTGCTGGTCACACTGAGGTAGGATATGTTACATGCCCAGTTGGGCGATGTACGTATTAGACCGAGGATCCGCAATGTGATAAAAAGGACTGAATGGACAACGCAGTGCAAGTATAATTCAACAAGCAATGTGCATTCCGACACATACAAAATGGTGCTTTATAGCGCAGGGAAGACTTTAGATACAAGTCCTGACCTGACCGGGACTGACCTCTATCACGTAGTGCCAGATAGCGTAGCAGAATGCTAGAATACCAATGGACTAGCCCACTCAATGTTTCAACGCAGACCAAACATACATCATGCTCATCATAAGGTGTGATGGGGCCTGGCGCTATACACAGGAAGGAGGCGCCAGGTCCAGACATACACAGACAAAGAGGAGGGGATCAGACGAGGAAGAGGAAGGGGGAGATGGGAAAGTCGTCAACACCAAGTCTCGTTACACGTCCCAAATAATCCCTCTTCAAACTGTCTGAAGTCCAAAGTCGAGTCTGGATCCAAATGTCACCAAGCTCTCTCTCTCTCCCTCGTAGTCTGATGATGCAGTGAAGTCAGATAGCGAGAGGGTGAGAAGGAGATGGTGGACTGAGAAGAGGAAGAAGAAGAACTCTCTCTCTCGTGTGCCAGGTACTACCCTGTGAAGATGGCGCTGTGCTGCAGGTACCTCGAAGACGAAGCTGGAGCAATGGCGCTGCGGGTATCTCTCTAGTACTACTCTAGCTGCTATGGCGCCCAGCCTGAAGACTACAGCTAACGCTACTAGCGCCCAGCGCTGAAGACTACTGCTAACGCTGCTACTACTCCTGCAGCGCTCCTCCAGAGTGCTGCTGCCGAATCCTGAGGACTACCTCCTGCCTCCTGAACTGCACGTGAAGTGCCTGGGAAGTACCTAGGAACTACCTGCCGACCTGCAGGGCGGGCCAGTCCTGTGTAGTGCTGGCCCGTCCAGGAGGCTGCTCTTGCCAATACCTCAACGTGCCAGACCCTGGGGTTGAAGCTCAAACAAAGTTTGTCTTGAAAATAGGCCAGAAATGGCCTGAGCTAAAGCCCTGGTCTGGTGCATGAGTTTCAGGGCGGGTCGGTCTTATGGGGGCCTGAAAATGGCCCTCAGTTTCAGGCTGAAAATGCTCAGGGCCGGAAAGGCCCCGATTTAGCCTGAAACGACACAGGGCCTGTAGGCCCTCGTTTTCAGGCTTTCAGGCTGAAACGACATGGGGCCTGTAGCCCCTTGTTTTCAGGCTTTTGGACTGAAAACAACACGGGCCTGAAAAATGGCCCGTGCAGCCTGTTGCAGGCGCAGCATGTAACAGATAGTAGAGATAGGGAGTGCGCTAGGAGTATTGACGTGAGGATGGGATGGGAAGGTAGCCTCGTTCCCTCAGGACGACCATGGCTGACCGCTCCTGGCGATCAATGTGTGCCTACCCCTAGTAACCAGCCTCTACAATACCCTGGGCTTTTTGTTAAAAAAAAAAAAAGGGAGTCCTCTTCGTCCTCTACAGCTTGGACTGCCTGCCCCGTCTAGGAATTATGTCTTCCTCCGGAAGTCTTGGCCTTGTCACTGCTCGCCATCCCAGTATTTCTCTTCCTCCTGTTCTTCCGTGTCTGTACGCTGGTGCGTGGGGAGCCAGTTTCTAATTTTTGCTGAGGATCTCTCTTTGACGTGGGCTATGTGCCTGTCCACCAAACGCTCCTCGTTAAATTTCATCGGCACAGTACTTCGTCTAGGGGATATACTTTTCTGTCCACCTGTGCTGTGACCCTTTGATTTCTGGCCTCGCTCCACGATTCATCTGTCGCTGTTGTCTTGCTTCCTATCATTTCCTTTCCCTGCATCTTGCTCCCTGTACCATTCACAGTACTGCTCTCCGTCTTTTTTGTACTTGCTACATGGAAGTGGCCTGCTTGGAGCCCTGCAGCAGCTGCTTCGACGCCATCGTAACCTGCATGCACAGCACGGCACGAAATGCAAATCAGCCCCTTGAACAATGACCTCCTCCCAAACAACACGCAACCACAACCCCTCCAGTTCCCCCTCCTCCCCTCTTCCCTCTAACCCCCTGTCTGTTTCGCGAATGCCAGTGGGCGCAGACAAGCAGTAAAAAAGGGAAAAAAAGGAAAATCAAATTCTTGACGAGGGAGGGATGGCGGATGGAGATGCAAGATCGAGGCAGGGATGGCGGTAATAGGAGGGGTAGGGGTGGAAGATGGAGGGAGGAAGGAGGAAGGAAGGAATTGCGGGCTAACTGGTTAATGTTGAACGATGGCGAGAGGGAGGGAGGGATCGAGGAGCAGCAAGGAGGAAGGGATGGCAGACTAATGGAGTAAGGATGGAGGGATGGCGGTAGGAGGGAAGGGGTGAGGGATCCCTACTGGAGGGAATATTGAGGATGGAGGAGGAGGAACGACGATGAAAAAATGACGCTGTTAAAGAAAAACGAAATAAAAGAATGAGATGAGGAATGGCAAAGTAAAAAGAAAAGGAGGTAGGAGAAAGGTGGTGCGTCTAGGGAGGAATGTTAAAGGAGGCAGTGGAAAGGTGGGAGGAAGGAGAAAGGAGGCGGCAAGGAGGAGGGAGAAAGGTGGCATGTGGAGGAAGCAAGAAAAAAACAAAAAAAAAAGGGAAGTCAAGGAGGAAGGACGACACGTGGCTCTTATTTGGTGTTTCTCGTGTTGCATTCTGCTTTCAGTACGAGCACATGACTTTCTGGATTTCAATGGGATGATGCAATTTGGTTTCTGCCATTCGCTTCGCTCATTTTTATTGCAAAGCCACCATAAATCAAACAAACACGACAGGACCTCTAGGCAACAACAAGAGTGCAACGAACCTCTCCGGGCTGCACAATCTGCAAAATCAAATATCTCAAAGTGCTACCGCAAGGCCACTGTGCGAACTATGCCAAACACCACAAGATCTCAACGCGACACCATTGGGGCCGCTGCTCAAGACATCCTAGAATATGGGCATGTATGTACGTCTACATGTGTGATTGTGTGTATGTATGTATGTCTACAATGCTCTACACACATAATTGTTTGTATGTATGTATGTATGAATGTATGTGTGTACGAATGTATGTATGTATGTGTGAATGTATGTATGAAGGTTTGTGGCTGGGTGTAGTGGTAGATCGCAGTGCCCGTGAGTGCGGCAATGGCTACGCCGCCGCCCGCTTGACCGATCTCTAACTTCAGATCAGAACGCAGGCATAGTGCAACGTGGAGCAGCTTCATCACATAGCAAGAGATGGCGCAAAGCGACTACACAGCAAGCAAACGCAAAGAGGGAGACGCAAGACGACCACACCACGCGAGGGAGACGAAGGGTTCACACTTGCACTTGTAACAAATCGAGCTCCGATAAGTCGAAAGAATAAGAGTTACAGCATAGTTCACCTGGCTAGCCCCTACGATTGCATCTTGATGTTTGTTGATGAATGTATGTAGGTTATCAGTGAAGATTGCATCTTGATGTTTGTCGTGTTTTTCATCGGTGTGTTTTCTCACTGATTCGAACAACTTCGCATGCCTAAGTCGTTGCTGAATGTGTCTGTCGAATGTGAATGTCTGTCTATGAATGCTGTACAGTGTTTTCAAGGCCATCAGTGAAGAGATATACCGCATTTTGATGTTTGCTGTGTTTTTCATCCAGGTATTATTTCCTTGATTTAAGCATAGCGATGCAAAGTATGACAAGAAATGCCTGTTGCATGTGATCGAGGGGAGATTCACACTAATAGAACCAGGAATGAAAGTTCTGGGACACAATTCATGTCGTGGGTGCAGTTTTGAGCACGGTCGACTTTGAAACACAAATTATGTCGAATTGGAAATCGTCAATGCGGCTGCATATTCGCAATCTACAATAATATAAGAACCGCTAACGTCATATCGCACGGCCCAGATTGCGGGCCGGTCACCACCCGCGGACGGCCCAGATCGCCGGCCGATGAGAAACTTTTCTCATCGGCCTGCGATCTGGGCCATCCGCGGGTGGTGACCGGCCCGCAATCTGGGCCGTGCGATACCGGTTCGTACCGGAAGTGGCGCACGGCCCGCCCAAAACGGCCCTTCCGCTTTTTCTTTCTTCTTTTTTTTTCGTTGTTTTTTCGTTCCGCCTGCCCGCCAAATCTGGGCCGTTGTTTTTTCGGCCTGCCCAAACGGCCATCCCGCCTGCCCGCCACTTCTGAACGCGCGCCCCGCGCCCAGCCCTGATATCGCCCGCCCACTTTTTCATTGGCGGGTTGTATATGTGCCCGCCATTCGAAGGGGCGGGCTTCTCAATCTCTCTCTCTCTCGGACGCTATGCTGCTATGCTGCTAAGGACGTGCTCATCGTGCTCTCTCTCTCGGATGCTATGCTGCTACGGACGTGCTCATCGTGCTCTCTCTCTCTCTCTCTCTCTCTCTCTCTCTCTCTGTGACTGTGCTCTTTGGTGTTCGGTGCTCATCGTGGACGTGCTTTTCGTCACGGGCTGATCGTGGATCCGTGCTGATCGTGGATCCGTGCTGATCGTGGATCCGTGCTTTTCTTTGGTGCATGATCACGGGCTCATCGTCGATCCGTGCTTTTGGTGCTCGGTGCTCAACGTGGATGCGTGCTTTTCGTGCTCATCTTGGATCCGTGCTTTTTTTTGGTGCATGGTCACGTGCTCATCATCGATCCGTGCTTTTCTTTGGTGCATGATACGTGCTTTTCGTGCTCATCGTGGATCCGTGCTTTTCCTTGGTGCATGATCACGTGCTCATCGTCGATCCGTGCTTTTTGTGCTCATCGTCGATCCGTGCTTTTCGTGCTCGGTGCTCATTGTGGATTCGTGCTCATTGGGGATCTGTGCTCTTCTTTGGTGCTCGGTGCTCATCGTTGATCCGAGCTTTTCGTGCTCATCGT